TTTACCTGCAGTTAAGATCTAAAAGAAATAAAAATGTTCCTCAGCTGAAAAAGAAATGAAACTAAAGGGAAAAAAAAAAAAAAAGAGTATCATTTCCCACAATTTATATAGACTGAAACATAAAGTTATATATGAAACCAATCAAATCATCACACACTTCTTTCATCCACAGAACACAAACTATGATGTTTGAGTCCACAACTAGAGAATCGGTATGGCTAACATTCTAAAGCTCACAAGTACATCTCAAACTCACTCGGGAACTTAAAACCCCCTCAAATAACTAAATATCAAATCACTAGAAGCAAGCACCGAAAAATGTTTATATCCCCAATTTCCTCAAGGATACGACCAAATCCTTCCAAATACCAAAAATTTGATCATATCAAAGGGAAAAAAATTAAGGGGAGATCAGCCTCTGTAAAATAAAATCCCAGAATGAATTTCGCATCTGCCAAAACGAGAAGGGACATAAAACGCCAAATCTGCAAAGCCCCACCTTCAATCTTCAAAAAATATAAACACCCAGAAACAATAAAGGTAACAAATTCAAAGATCTAACCCAAAGACCTGATTTATAAAATAAATAAATAAATAAAGAAAAATCCTTGATGACACCCACTGTATCCGAATTAACACCCTTATGAAAAAATCCAACCTAAAACAACCCGATCCAAATCCAATTTAACATAAAAACACAAACTTCTAAAAAAAAAAAATCATAAATTACACATCAAAAAAAGAAAAAAACTCATTAAAGAAAGATGTCCATACCGATCGAACCAGAAAAACCCAGGATCGGAAACGGAGAAGAGATGACAAACGGCGTCGTTATGAAGAAGAAGAGTCTGAGATGATTGATTCCGCCGATGAAGAGAGAAGAAATAGGTAAGAGAAACGTATTTTCCTGGTTATGTATTCATTCCAGCTTTTCCTCTGTTCTTTATTTTTATTGTCCCGTGGTGTGTGCTCTAATGCGCCGCGACAGTCAAAGAGGAACACTATAAAACAACTGTTTTATTTTTAAAAATGCAATAGACATAAACAAATATTAGACGATAAAATATGGATGGGAAGTTAGGTTTTTAATATTATAATTTGTTTTTTTTAATAAATTTATAAAGATTTAGATTCAAATAGTTGTTATGGAATAAGAGAATGCATTTATAAGTTGTCATGGAATAAGAGAATGCATTTATAAGTTGTCATGGAATAAAATAATGTATTTATACGTAATCTAATACCATTGGATTTAAAGGCTTAAGTGTTATAAATTTTTTTATTAAATAATTTTTATTTTATAATTTAAATTAATTTAAATTATAAAATAAAATTTCATAATTATAATATTGGTGTTATGCATTTATATCATTATTTATTTTCATATTAAATTTTTTTATGTTTATTTTAATATTATATATATTTATTTAATATCATATCATAAATATTATATATATTTATTTATGTTATATTTATTTAATATTATATTATAATTATAAATATAGATGGTGTGTAATATTGTAATTATATTATTTTTAATTTTTTTTAATTAAAAAAATAGAAATTATGGAGAGTGTTGGAGGCTGCTCTGTCTCCTCCTTTGACCAACCAAACTTTTCATTGTTTTATCGAACTTAATTAAATAAATAGTATGTTAACTTTCATTTTATTTAGTTTTACTCTTGAAGTTTAATTTTCTTTCAAAGTCATTTATTATCTTTTAAATTTGTTTTAATTTTCCCTAGTCCAACATAATTTCATTAACTAAATTGATGAAATTTCACATTTTTAATTATGTAGCATTTCATAAGTCTACATATAAGTTACCATGTGGCTTGAAAATGAGAGGGTAAATTCTCATTGTTTCTTTATAGCTATATCTTAATATAAAAAATTGCTTCATTTGGTGAAAATTTTTTAAACAAATTGTTTTATATGGTGGAAATTTTTAAAACAAATTTGCATCCCTTTTCAAGTCACATGATTTTTTACATGGCAACTTATGTGGCAACACACAATCAAAGATATGAAATTAGTTACTAAACTAATATAGTTGTGTTCAATTAGATTAAATTAAAATAATTTTAAAAGTTAATAAATGATTTTTAAAAAAGTTTTAAACTAAAACAAAAAAAAATTGAATGATTAATAGATGATTTATTAAATTAAACCATTTTATCCATATTAAAGATCTAATATGAGTCCCTAAACTTCTCCTAGAAATCAGTTAAGCTCTTCTACTTTACCTTTTGTTAGAAAACCTCTCAATCCTTTTAACTTCCTACTATAATGATCTTAAATTTCATTAGTTGTATCATAAAAATGCCTTTTTTTTACTTTATTTTATATTACTTAAGAAAAATGAAAAGTAATAGAATCATAAGAATATCAAAGTAAGGTTATTCAATAGGAGAACCATTTCTATACTTACATATATCACAATGTACACAAATGCAATGCGATGGTTCTCTCAAAAGGAGAACCAATGCCACCACTCCCTTATCCATGACTTAGTAATGCTCTAAGCTTTAGAATCTAATTAATAATGCCTAATATTCTGCAAAATCAAATCAACAAGACTTCAAAATTATAGAGTCATGATGCTCCTAAATATAAAAGATTCTTAATGGGATAGTGTTATAAGTTTTTTAATCATCATTGCCAATGCTCCCAATCAAAGCTGCATCCATGCTAATTTGGTTATATCTATGCAAAGTAACATAAAAAAGGTAATTTAAAAAAATAACCCACCCTCTTTCTTTATTATAAAATTAGTTTATAATGATATAGTTATTTAATCACCAAATCACCATGTTGATATTGATAATATGGTTTAATTAATTATAAAGGAATATATGTCATTTTACGTAAAGATTAAAGGGAATATGGAGTTAATTGATAAAAATGAAAAAAAGAAGGGCTCCATTGGCCGAGAGAAAGTAAAATTTGAGGGCCTTTATCTGTTGCGGCTAATGGGTTTTGCCCAAACAAGATAAAAAATTTAAAGAAGCAGATTCTTTTCCTAATTTTGGGTTAAAAAAACAAAAAGGAGGACACTTTGCCCGTAGAGGAAAGAGAAAACTGTCTCAAACATTTCTTCACTTGCTACTGAAAATCGCAATAAAACTGAAAAGGTATTTCTTTCTTCTTCAGTTCGCAGATCAATACCACATAAATGTTTCGTCTTTTTTTAATAATCTTTGCTCTATGTACCAAAAAAAAAAAATCTCTGCTTTTCACTTTATTGACTTGATGGTGGATCATGAAATGGGGTTTTTTTTTTTTTTTTGATCTTTTGAACGATATCATGATTCATTGAAGAGAATGAACGGTTGCTGTTAATGGGATTCTGTTTCTGTTAATAGATTTATGAGATTGGTAGTGCAATGGTTTTTTTTTTTTTTTTTTTGGGTTAATGTGATTTTCATTGTGGATTGACGTATACTTTCATTGGTACCTTTATACTGAATTAAGGGCTTAAAGTTGTGAAATTAAGTTAATTTCTTAGAGAATGTGATTTGGGTGTTTCAGTGCTTGTTTTGAACTTTTATGCATGTTGTGAGTTCTAAAATAATTGTATTTGTATTTGTATTTTTCGGCACTAATATTGGATGCAAAACGGTACGTGATTCTTGATGTGGGTGAATTTTTACATGCATTGTTACCTTTATACTGAATTAAGGGCTCAAAATGATAAAAGACATTCAATTTCAACTTTAATTTTGAAGGAGAGATGTAAGTTGAGAAAGTTATTTGGGAGTTTTTGTGCTTGTTTTATGCATGCTGTGAGTTATAAAATGGTTATATTGTATTTTTGGGGCTAATTTTGGATGCAGAAGGGTATATAACTCATTATTTTTATATCTATTTTTGGTTATCAGATATTTGATTTTTTTTTTTTTTTTCAAGTTCAGAGAGAAAGACCATGGATGATAGTTGTGTTGTTTGTGCTGACACACTCAAGTGG